ATTACTGTAGTTTAATAAAGGAAATGAACTTTTTTCTTCCTGTAGATACAGAGCCAAATCGTTGCTTATGCAACAACTAGTTTTAATATCGTAAACACACTCCATTGTTATGCAAATCTGTAGCGCTTTATAACGTAGTCTGTTTCGGTGGTTTATTTAATAAAGTCTTAACTCCTGATGAGTGAGGTACTCCATGTACCTTACGAAACAGTACTGTAGAGTGAACTTTACTCATGTAGTCGTGTCTTAATTTCTCTGTCCACGTATGTATATATATATATATATATATATATATATATATATATATATATATATATATATATATAGCGACATTTGAATGTAATTGACAAATCGAACCACGGAGAATTTTGGAATTGTAGGCGCACTTGTGACTTGTGGAACAGATACGACCGGGATTTTTGTATTATTGTCAATCCATTCAGTATTAGGTTACACAGAGATAGCTACAAAATAAGTGAATATATATCACGTGAGGACGAATAGGACAGATACAATTTACGTAGCCTTGGTACTTGCATTCTCGGATGTAGCGTCAACTAAGCTCATCTACTAAATTCTACCCTAATTACGCTAAAGAACATACATTGTGGATATAAGGTGATATTTGTAAACATGGTATTAAGATTCTATGATGTATACAGCAATATAATAGAACGACTTTAAATTGTTTAAATAAAGTCTCGGTACTTAAGCGATTGATTTGTTTATATAATGTAATAGTTTATTCAGGTAATTACACTAATCCCTGAAACGGTAGTATACCTTGAGAACTCTCGGTTTTTTATAATTGGGTTTAACTAACATATAATATATTCCTTAAACTAAACACTTGGTAAGAGTCAAGAATAAAAAAAACACATAATTTTAATTATTTTTAATAATGTTCGTCTACAACAGAGACAAGTAAGGTAATAATCGAAGTAGTTTAAATGCGTGATTTCGACAATATATTTCTGAAATTTATTGTCAGAGTCAATTGTTTTCAGACTTAATTCCAAAAAAAAGAGATGAAAAAAATCCCTATCGAAACAATTACATCATTGTGGTACTATCGTTCAAAACTAATTTAGTTTGTAATAAATAAAATTACAATTACTTTATAACATGTACTCCTCATGATATCTCTTTTAATATTCTATTACAGCACTATACGCCTGAATAACTACTAATAACCATATGTGTACATTCATATTTAAATCCTCATGATTTGTGCTCTCTAGCGGTAGTGTCTAAAAACAAACGAAAGCGAAAAATCGATGAACTCTGCTAACGTTAGCACACTTGCTCCGATACATAGTCCCATTAGACCACCAAAGCTGCCTGAAAAGTAAAACAAATAAGTTTTAATCATTTGTCACTATTCACATAAATTTAAACCCGGTTCTAAACATACTACGATATCACTAAATCATAACCCCTTTCGTAGAGTTATTTATTCGAGAGACATTCTAATACAAATAATAAATATTTGTTAAAATTGAGTAGCAAATATTTTGAAGTATTTTGGTAACGCACGTTTAGCAGTACTTACTAAAAAGGGACCAAACTGACATTGCGGGAATCAATTGTATTTCTTTGTATGTCAGTTCTGTGTAAAAAATCATGATATCAATAAAATTGTCCCTGTATAAAAGATAAAATCTGTAATATTAATATCGAAAATTGAATATATAAACAATGTCATAGCATTGGCGGAAATATTGTATGTCTGGACTCAGAAACGACGTGCTTTCGTATATTGGAATATATACAGAAATTGAGTGCATATATTGTAGCCATAAAATGTCATTGGTTGATAAGCAATTCTATTTTCCAGTAAGAATTTATTTAAACACTGTGTGCTTGTTTACGGGTACTCACTTGACACTCTCCTCCGATATTCCATACATATCAGATAATCTTTGTATAATCGATGGGGACGGGAAGTGGCCATACGTTACGCGTGGGTTGTACAATGTAAAGTTGCATGGGACGTTGCAGTCAATATTTGTTAGGGCGTTAGAAACTGAAACAAAATATTAAAGTTAAGAGAATTAGTTGTAAAATCAAAAACGACACTGACAGTGTTTGAGCCAATTCAAAGCCCCAAAACGTCACATTTTTACATGATCTGTATTCTAAGTATGATTCGTTTCTATATATATATTTCATAGTTCTAGTTTGATATGAATATGAAAGATAAAAAATAACAACTAGCAGCAGTGACTTATTGTTTACAATGCACGGCTGTACAAATTAGAGATATGTCGCGATTGCCGAATGAACGCACATGGGGAGACGATGGTGACAGACAAGTCAAGCAATAACATACTTATATAAAGACTACCCCTTATATCATTCCATCCGACAAAGTGTCCATGACTGTTTTAACCGGTTGTCTTCAAAATATGGTTTTACAAAAATATAACGTATGTCCAGATGATTCGACCTTTCTTATTAATCAATAATTTAAAACTAATAACGTACCTGACCAAGTTTAATACACATTATGTGTTATGTTAATATATACATTTATGGGTTATGTTATGTCAATATCATGTATTGGGTAATTTGGCTTCTCGTTAAATCAGAATGTGTTAAATGACGACTGTGATGATCAATTATAATACTATAGTTATGTATATAGTTGTCTGCACATCTATTTGTTTGTGAGGTCATTTGCATAGACATTATTTATCGTATTTTTCTTACATTTGTGGGTGCAACAATAAAAACATATGTTACATACATATTTAACAATACGCTGAATGCTGTAATATTATAAATTATAACAATTGAACACTACAGTATTCTTATGACCACTAATATTCATCAGTGGCTTTATAATTGTGTGTGGGCTTCAGCAGGCTATATTCTCAATTTGTGAAGAACAAAAATGCGCGACTGCATAGTACACTGTGCTTACAATCAGATTAGCTATATATATATTACATTAATGGCTCTAAGTATGCGAATGGAATATATTGAAAATATAAAAAAATACATTAATAAATAAATAAATAAATAAATAAATAAATAAGATTTCAAGATTTACATGTATTTCACATACCTTTAAGTGGCAAAGCACATTCCACGGACTCTTGCAGTGTACATGTACGGACGGGCCCTGCCATGAAAATATGCTATCATGTAAATAATAGATAACTAACTAGCTACAATTAATATATCAAATACTCACGATCCTACCGTCAATGTGACTGTAACCAAGACACCAGTTCATTTCTAAAGACACATACGTTACATGTTTAAGTTAAGTAAGTTAAAAAATATGCTATAACATACTAACTTAAAATGATGTTCTCCATAAAGAGGAAAGACAGAGACATTGTAATAACATTACCCGGTAATTCTATTTCTTTACAATTACATTTCTCAGCCATCTCATTGCTCATCTTTTCATTCATGCAGCCGTGGTAAGAATAGACCGGGTAATAGCTCGTTCCTTCTGTACAACAATTAGTTTGGTAGGGCGCCTTTAGGAAAAGATACTGAAAGAGAATATGTTTAATTTTTTTATATTTTAATATTCTTAGTTTCTGTCACACAGAGAACCAACCGATCTGCCATTCAATTCATATGTTCTGCTTTGGACAAAAAATACAAAGAACAAAATAAATCCCTAACAACAAAAAATTGAAGATAAAACCACAACATCTACAAGACACAGTAATATCCCATGTACGAATCTGGCATTAAATTAGAAAAGTTGAGATGTTCTTGTCCCAATTTGCAGATATATTAGTCAATAAATAATTTTATCACCTGAAATATAAAAACAAAAAACAGCTAAAATTCACTCAAAATACAAAATTGAAGGTAGCTCCACCATGCGACAAAATCACAGAGAAGATTACATCAGGTAACTTTATGGTTGACATGAAGGCAATCTGTGTTGGAGATAATTTTCTTAAAAATTATGATTTGGCAAAAACACTAAAAATAAAAAAAGTTAAGATAATAGGTCCTATTATCTTAACTTTTTTTATTTTGTATTTTAAGTGATTATTATTTTATGATATTTTAGCAGTCCGGCCTACGTACTTATATGCTAAATGTGAAGTCAATCAGACTGATGGGTTTTGGAAAAATGGTCTTTACATACTAAAGATGAAAGCAATTTGACTGACAGTTTAGAAATAACATTTTGCTAAAATATCATAAAATAATAATCACTTAAAATACAAATTTGAAGGTTATGCTACCCTATCAATAGGACCAGCAACCTACATGCCAAATAGCAAATCAATCAGACTGACATTTTTTGAAACATTTCCAAAAATATCAATTTTCAGCTTTTTTGATCTAATTTCCAGATTTGTTAATGGATCCACTTTTCTTGACCACATTACCAGATTCAACGATTAAGGGATTTTCATACCAAAAATCAAAACCAAAGTTTTCTTGAGAAAAAGTCGTCCACGAACGACCAGACGGATGGCTGAAGTAATAAACAAAAACTGTTTTAATTTACTGACCTTATCCATGGGCATGGCAACGAGAGCTTCTACGCCCGGAGCAATGGATAGTGCCGTATTTTCACCGGTGATATCAGCACCAGGTTCACTCAGAATTACCTGATGGTATCAGGAAGCAACAAGAACAATGTTTAGTTACCACATAGATATGATATCCGATGATCATGTTGATGTACATTAATTCAACTTGCTTAACATGCATTTTAGCAAAAATAATTATGAATTGTTTTGCTGTCGTTTTGGCGAGAAGCAAGAACAAAGAATTTCAGATGCACAAGTTAGGCTGATACACAATCATTTTTACGGATAGTATTAATATGTAGTAAAACATTTTAGCATCTTTTTGAAACCTCGTTCATTGATAATAAGATATACATCGGAGAATGGAATATTTAAATAATATACCAATGTTGAACAACTGGTATATCAACAACAGACTATATCATTGATGATATGGCGCACTTCGTTATTCCTGGTTTTACACTCAAGAGGATAATTATTTACTTCCTATATCCTGAAAAGTGGGACTAAATGGCACAAATATCAAGAAGAAAGCATAAAAGCAACTTTTTATGAGTGACAATATAAATGTTATATTTTTGCATGCAAGAGACTGGATTACTTTACCGTTATCCCGATGCCAGTCCTTGGACCAATGGTATACTCGATTCGCTGAACATTGATCAGCATATGTAATCCTGTACTAGAGCCCGTTGAAGTTGCCTTTAGAATGTTGTCAAGTCCGTTGTTAAAAGAGTAACATACGCCATGCTCTGTGAAGACAGTTGTGAAATTCTCCCGACCACACTCATGCTTGTCATCTGAATTAACGAACTGGCATTTGAGAATTGTGTCTTCTAGTTGGTGGGCTGCAGTTAATTCAAACTCCGTACGGTTCTGTAGTGCAGGATCATTCTCCAACAAGCTCCAGTTATAGTTGACATGTAATTGTGGACCAAATCCAGCAAGTGGGTATATGCTCCAAAGGAATTCTTCGAACGCAGTGCCGTTGATAACGGATTTTCTGTATCTATTTTTATTACATATAGTTACAGTAGGAAATGTTAATGACTGTGTAAACTGAAGTGACGTCATTGTGTCTACTGGGTAGGTCAAATATAATCCAACTAGCGAGAACAGGCATAAACAGAGAAATACTACACTGACGATCACAAGAAATATCCAAACAGATCTGTATAAGTAGATACAACATCCCCAAACATTAAAGCAGAATCATTTAAAGCTTATCACGTGAACATGATAATTGCAAGAGTATTATTGAAATATATCAATATATTCATCATTCACAATGAAGCTGGCATGCACCGATATTAAAACCACTCTTCCTGTACACTCACTACAAATGATGGTTTAGTCAGGTTATCATAAATTGGAAATAATCGTTATCTTCCAAATAAACTATAAGACGAATATTGAAATGTTTGGTTTCTTTATTTAAAGATATTACTGAAATTAAGGGTTCTAAATAATAGTGACTGGCATGGACATTCTTTTTCAATAGAGAAAGAATGAGTAGTATCTTTTTATTTTTGGGACTGTTTATATCAAGACATCTTTATTTGGACATTACATTTTAAGCGTTGTGGCTGAGTTTCAAAAAATAACGACACTTATTCTGTAAGACTTATGCTTTGCCACATCGATATGCTTGTGAAGCTAACTCCTGTTAAGCTTGATACCACAAGTCGTCAGTGCTAGACAGAAACACATCAAGTAGTTACAGGCAATTACTGCTTTTAATACACAGTGAGCATGCTTTAGATGTCTCTAAAAAGGTAAATTTGTTGTCCAAATGATTAATGTGCGAATGATTTGTGAGAATTGTTTTAAAGTTATTACAAGATAACCTTAATAAACAGTCTTTGTTTACTGACATGCCTAGAAGTTAATTAATGTAGAATGTAGTAAATAAATATGTGAAATGTATTACTAAACAAGTTACCACTAAGCTAGGAAACTATACAAATATGGGGTGTGTTAATGAGATATATGCTATCGCACTAAAATACTTTCTTACTCGAATTGATATAACATGTATATTAAAAGCAACGTGATTATCGTTTTCAATCGCCAATGAGGCTTAAAGTATATAACTGTATGTACAGTTTGTAATTTCACTGAATGAACTGTGCAAATAGTATCCTGTATATCAATGAGTAGAAAAAACACATACAATTATTATTACATGAAGCTGATATTACAAAGCAAGGATGTGAATCCTGGAAGATTACTTGGCAGTATTAGCACCGCAATTAAATGGAAATATACATTTTTTATCGCAGGCATGTTTGTTTTTGGCCATAACATGCCCGTGTTGCAATATCTACAGTAAAATATCGCTTTCAAATCTATACTGGTATTCTTTATGAATGGCAAATCTAACATAGTACACTGAAATAGAACCATCATAAACACTACTATTATGTCCACGTTGCCTTCAATCGCTGACATAAATTAGTCATTGTCTGCAGAATTTCATTACACAATAAAGCCACTTGGCCAAAGTTAAAATACCTTCGTTTCCAGGAATTATTCGGACCAACTGTAAAGGCGACTCCATGCAATGTAGTTCTACCCATGAATTGCGACAATTTGGCAGAAAAAGCTGTTTGTGTATTCATAGCAGTGGTTGTGTTCAGCCCGGCTGTAGATTTATTTCCATCGTTCCCTTCCGTTACTACTATATCTGTTCGAATGGAATCCCGTCGATATGTTAACTCATTTAACTCGCTGCTACTCATCTATTAGGATGAAGTAGAAACAGTTTTAGTTTGAATCTGCAAGATATTTTCAAGCGTATGATTTGGAAGCCAAATAATATTGAAGTTATTCTGGGCTCGAACCAACGATTTATTATTATTGTGAAGTATTACTGCTCAGTGTTGCCATGAATTCAAGACTGTCATATATTCAATTGATACACGTTTTCCTAATTAAGATCTCATCACTTGTGAATGCTATAAAGCCTAATTCTATGTACTTTTTTTAACTTTATACGGATCACCGAGTTTTAATTAAGTTTATATTTTGGATTGATGAGTATTTTTATTTTTTAAAAAGATTATATGATTTTCGTTTTCGTTTTGCTACTCTGCTTTCGTTATATTCCAGTTGAAAAATGGACAGCACGCACTGTTAAAAAAGGTGACAATATAAAACATGGCGTGTCTCTGGGAAGACACTGCGGGGAAAATATGGTTGTATATTCTTGGATTCTGGAAATATTCGACCCGCACCACTGGTTTCAAACAACACTGCTGCAGTGCTACTATTGAGAAAATGATGTCATGCACTCATGCAAGACATAATTAGTATTACATGTCACATGTTAATCCAACAAGTAAATTTTTAGAAGACAGTTTATTCTGCTGTTATTTTCTTCAGGTAATTTGACAGAATGGTAAAACCATCTGCATCACGACTTCTTATTGTCTTTAATAAAACGGTCACAGTACAATTAGATTACATTTCATATTTCAGGTTAGGGTACAATTAACAGTTGTTGAGCTGTTAGCTAAATGAAATACGCTAATGTGAATAATATGTATTTCCACAGATTTCTAAATCGTATGTAAGGTGATGCTGGGTCAGTGCATTGTGAAGAAGTAAGAGAGTGTGTTTGACAATATTAGCTAAATACCGATTTTTCTCCTCAGTAACTTGTGATTAGTCCAAGTGAGATGTTTGTTAATTTCAAATGTAACCGATTTAGCCTCGTTCACAGGATTAGAATAGATGGCGAGACAACCTTTCACCTCTACTGCTTTACGACGCCCGCTTATTATAATAATGTAGTTAGTTTTGAAACAAATTATCGTTATAAGTAATTGCCATCACACCAGCATGCTACTTCGTCCAAATGCTCACCCACTGTTGTAAGATCAATATCAACGCCCGATTAAAATGTATGAAACAGATTCAATTGATCTGCAAAAAAATTAAAGAAATCAGTTGAATTGGAGATATTGAGAGCGTTGAGCCGGGGACAGAACTATTGGGGACACCAGAAGTTATTAGGAGTTGCTGAGAAGTCATACCATTTGAAGAAATTGTGTTGAATGCATTGGAAATCACAAGGTTAATTAAGGAAAGTTTTGTGCTGTAGTTTTTTAAGACTTTGACACAATCTTACGTTTCTCAAAGTAAAGTTGTAATTGATTATTTACGACAGATGTGTAGAATCGAACAGTCTGTAACCCTTTTCAATAGATGAGAGTGACTTTGGCAATTTGAGATGGTCTGGGAATTCTCCCGTCAAGAAAGATAAATTAAAAATAAAAGAGAGTGGCTTGGAAACAACCTTTGAAGCTCCTTTGAGTAGCTTAACGGATAAATTATCACACCCAGAAGACTTTGGGGGTAAAGACTATATAACATCAATTCGTAGAAAAAAAAAGAGTTCAAGCAGGGGCTATTAAGGTAATGCCGACATGATTTGGGGGTGTCTCATCTTTTGGAGTTAGATTTGGACCAAGACCAAAAAAAATTGTAGTATGCGTTAACAATGTTACCAGGATTACGTAAAACTTTGTTGCAACCAGCAGAGTTAATTTTCAGCCCTATCGGAAGGGTATTGTTATTTGTTTGACAGTCACCAATAATTTCGTTGATTGCATTCCATGTCATTTCTGTAGAATTTTGATATTTAAAAACTTTTGCAGTATACTATTATTTCAGCTTTACGACATATAGTTGTAAAGATGCTTCTGTAATTGTTGTAGTATGTCAGATATGGTCTAGCCTAGTTGGTCTGAATGACTTTCTAATTATATTTGTGATTAGTTATAATTGATATTCTAATAGCTGGCGAGATCCGAGGTTTGGTGTGTTTTTACTATTACAGTTTATTATTCTTGAGCACATAGGCACATAGGCATTGAACAGTTCATTAAAAATTTAATTGAATTGCAGTGTTTACATCGCAACACGAGTAAATATTATCCAAACTGGGATTTACCAGGTTATAACCCCATCATGTGTAAAACAAGAGTTGATATTAGTTTAAATATGATCAATTGTAGAACTACTGTTTTTGTAACACGTGTGGGGGTTCAGTAATGAGTTGATTTAAATATAGGCTTTGGATGTTTGAAAACGAAATCAACATTATTAGTTAAATGATTTGATACATCCATATTGAAATCACCCATAAGGATACAATTATGTTTAACTATTTTAAGCTAGGGTCATAAACCAACAACACATCTTTAAGGGCCACATGCTTTTAGAGTGTTGTACCTTGTAATTTGGGGTCTTGTAATCATCTTGAGTTATGAATGTATAACCCAACTCCCCTCCCATACCGGCATCCATGTTGCTGAATTCAAATGAGTATGATGGTAATCGGAATAAATTCGGGTTTCCAATTTGTCAAGTTTCGGATACACGGACAATTTTTAATTTAATGGATTAATGGAAAGTGTATGATCATAATAAATCTTAAGCTCATTAAAATGTTAGTTTTGACTGTTCTCTTCATCAAGTTGTCTATTTATCTGAGACTGCATAGCCCGACGTTTATCCCCACACTTTCACTTATCATCATTAACATCTACAATACACAGACAAGTTTACTCTAAAGCCAAATGCACATGAAATTATTCTGCACAATCAAAACAAGCCTCCACATAGTACTAAAAATGTCTTGCATGGCAATTCAACGAATCAATTTGCTGTGAAACAAAACTCTACAAAATACCAAGACTAGCGGACCCGACAAACGTGACTGGAGCATGACGTCTTCCTAATATTACCCAGATCACAATTTTTCATGACAATAACAAGAATCTGACATAAGTTCATCTAGAACAGACAATTCAAATGGCGGACATCAAAACTAGTTTGTACACTGAAACAGGGCTCTGGTTGAATGGCCTCATCGTGGCCAACTTATAGTCTGACTTCCAAAATCCCGCTTCATACTTTCTTTTTCAGAAAGCCTGAACAACAAACTCAATCGATCCAAACATAAGATAATGTAGCACAAATGGGCATCTCAGAACAACTATAATTATCATGTCTGTTTCAGCAATGAAAGAGTGTATATGTCCAACTAGCACACATTCTCCCATACACGATACGATAGTGTAGAAATTCAAAATACACAACACAAAACACCTCGAACTCTCGAATTCGATGAATTCAAGCGTTGGAACACACCCGCCTTAATTTACTCACACTTTCTTGATATGGCGTACTTGGCGCAACGCAATTCAACAACCGACATACAGTTCGTATCCACCTCGTTCTAAGCAATGTCACGGCCTCAACAATGATCAAACAATCCGTCTTGATAAAGTTATTATATGTCAACACCGGGTATGCTAAAAAAACAATACATGTAATGTGACCTATTATTTGCATAGTACAACTCACGTTACGCCATCTACGACCATTGTCATAAATCGCGTGTCTTTACATAAATCGAGTCAATGGTCAAGTACTCATAAAATCCACTGTACTATTGTACATCATAGAAAAAAATCGATTGTAGCGAAGGGTTACAAAAACATATAATAGTATTATATTTTCACTGTAATTTCGTTTTGTGATTTTCTAATAAGCAAATGTGTATGACCATATAATGATTTATGTAAACAAGAAAAATATGCGCAAGTACATACAATTGATAATGCCAATTAGCACGTATGCCAATTTAAATGCGAATGCGAGTGTGCACTAATTACGACAAACTTCCTTAATTACGAAGTAGCTGTCTTCCAATGTGCTTTACAATGAAAGCTGTCAATTCTTTTGTTTTGTCCACATTACGTATTTGTTTTGGAACAGCAGTGTAACATGATTGTCCTTGAATTGCTATCAATTTTGATCTGCTTTGGAAGAGCGTGCAATAGACATTTAGCGTCATGAACTGGCACACATTGGTAAGTCAACAGATTTCATTTATTCGCTTCGTCAAATTAACGATTTGACACTATTCAATAAAATAATAAGTAAAACGAAATTAGATTGACGGATGTGACTGATAACTTTTGCTATGAAAACCTTAGCATCCCGTAGGTAAGCCAGTCACACTGGTTCTCACTACAAGAGGTTACGACACCCTGCCAAATGCTAACAACTGAAACATAAATATACATGTTTACATGAAAAATTGTCCAGCTATGTGGATCTATTGGTGCAGACGTTTTAAGACTGTATGCCCTCACTGACGTCAATCAAATTGTTATGTGGGAGGTTGGCACCCAAGGCTTACAGATACTGGAGGTAGTTGTGGCAAAAGGGAACCTCATTCTCCCAAGTGCAAAAACACCACGACCAGATGCAATTTTAACGTCATACCCAAACATATTTTGTGAACATAAACTCAACAGCATTTACGAACTGAATTGCTGTAACTAATTGCTGTCTAATGAACAAAGGGCGCCACCACACGCCTGTGTCAGTTCAAATTATTGTAATTGGTTAATAAGTTTATACTATGCATATTCTGATTTGATTCTACTGGTCATGCGGTTTTTGAAATTCTCAGGTGGATCTCCGCAGAATAGAAAGGTCACTGCAGGTCACCATCAAGTAATGGCTCAATGGCAATGACATGAAGAGGTGATGATAATGAACAGCCCTGACGTATGGCCTGAGAAAGTAAAACAGGGGCTGTGAGGGCGCTGCTTAATCTGAATAATGATTGCGCATTATAATATATGAGACGGATATAACTAAACCCAAAAGCTTTTAAAATTGTAAAAAGGTATTCATGATGAATCATATCAAAAGAGTT